AGCCAGCCTACGATAACTACTCGGCCTGATATCAGACAACGATACCGAATAATTGGGCCCGTCTTACGGTCTGGTCTAGTGTGATAAAACGGTCAAATCTAGCGTGGTTTGTTTATTCTATGCGCTGACGCTACCAGCAGTTCGATGCATATGGCAGTCCATCGCCTGCATAGGAGCGAATCTTGAGATCTGAGATGTCCTTCTCGCATCGTATCTAGAGGCTGACCGTCCTCTCTAGAGGCGTACATTATCGTCGAAGCCCTCGCGAAGGTACTGACCGAGATATCTGGAGAGTAGATAGGACAACCACTTTGTTGCTACTCTCCTGTCCAGGCTCTATCCTTATTGGCTTTGTCTCCATTATTAGTCCGATTTACTAACTTGCTCGCTTGCCAGCTACTAGTTATCAGGGTCAGGATGGGTGTCGAGCATGTTGTAAGTACCAATAACCCCCCTAGACTGCTGCGCAGCCAAACATAGCCATGCTCATACATCAATAGGATTGCACCACTGGCGATCTTGTTGTTTCACATGCATTTCATTTCAAAATATATTGACGATATTATTTTCGACGTTGACAACGAGATGGCAGCTAGAGTCTCTCTAGCACCAACAATGGCTAGAAAGTGGAAGTCAATAACATCGTCCGCAGCTTCGAATCTTGGGCCAACAACCTATTCCAAGCAAGATTACAGGGCGCGCCTGACACCTAGAGTATGGATGGACTAGACTTTTTAATAATTAGCCGACAGGTAGGTTTGTTCTACCATCATCCTGCTAAAATGCACTAGTTTATAACTATGAGGCCTATGAAAGCTGGACGTATCGTCCCCGACCTTGATGGCGTGGACTCCTAGATTAACCCGAGCCAAGATGATAATAGCATGTACATGAAATCTGCCTCCTTGGTGAATACTTCATACTTTAACTTCATTATGCATGGCTCGGGACACAACCGTGAAGCGCCACAACTATTATACCCCTTACTTTACACTGGCAACACGATCTCACTCAAATAAGAGTTTAAGAGTGTATTCACGGGGTGGCAACTACAGAGAAAGGAATCTAGTTGACGGCCTGAGAGGCTCAATGGGCAGCAACTCTGCGGAGCGTACTCCGTACTTCAGGGGTTGTGCCTTTTTTTTTTTTTTTTGGAGCACTGCGAGCGTCGGCGCCAGGAATCAAACAGCTAGACAGACCAGTCAGCTCGTTAACTGCTCCGTACTCCGTATTTTGTATATTCTCGTACCTCTACCCGTAGTCCAGAGTTGTCAACCAGTTCCCAGCCAGGCCTCGTATATCAAAAAGAAAGCAGCGCCTACAGGGTCTCCTCTGCCCTTAATCATCAGTCGAGAAGAGAGCAAACATCAGCTGCCTACAGCCTCCTCGGGAAGATCAATACCTCTGCTCGCTCTGATCAACAACTTGGCTCAGAAAGTTCCGGCGTTGGCTTTGGTGGCTGGCTCTGATCCCGCCCAACTCCACACGCACACGAGAGTTTCTATTAATATAGTTACAAGCAGGTAAGTTAACTCAAGTACTCTCCTCCGTTACAACTAAATCGACACGATACGACCTCGGCGGAGATGGCTGGGAGGGCTTCCGCGTGTGAAAGAGCAAGGCGGCTGAGAGAGCAGCGCAGCGGTGGATGGATGGCCTGAGCGATGAGATCGACTGGCCAACGCGGCGGACTTGACGATTCGACCAACGCCTAGAGCCCTCGTCTGGTTGTATTCATTTCGTTTATAGGCCGTCCGAGGTTGATATGTCATTCATATTACATATTTGCAGTCAGGGGCTCATCTAGAACTAGTTTACATCAAGCAAGTCTCGGCGGATATCAAACTGCGCAGCCAAATATCAACACGAGCAGCCGGCTAGCCAGCGCATGTATAAATACCCGACTGCGATCTCAACGTCTTCCACATGTCTTTTTACGCCCGTCCAACCCGTCTGGCGGAGTAACTAACCAGAAACAAGTTAGCTACTTTGTCTCCTCCCATGTCTTCTGGTATGTGCGTTCGTTACATATGCAAAAAGGGGGTCCCGCCATTCCCGCTCAGAGATCGGGGGAGAAGACGCTTATCCTCCATCGTCCATCGCTCGATCCGTTCCCCCTGGCCTGTTGGATGCATATCATGCTCGACTAAGAAAGTTCCCAGCAGGCCTGCTAGACTGACTTTGGCAATTGCATGAACGCCTGTCGACAGGGTCTTCTTTCGTGCGATGACGTCCTCGCGTTGCCTGCATGTCTGGGGTACTCAAAGCGAGGGCGTGAGCACATTTCGGGG